TCAGTTTGACGCCGTTTAGCTTCTCATCATGTCGACTCGTTCTTACAGCCGCTGGATCGTTCTGCTCAGTCTGGCAACTCTGATGTTCTTCTCAGCATCAGAAGGTAAAAAAAAAAACTAAAAACTTTTCTTTTTTATAAAATGTTCTCCACTTTAACCAGAACAAATATTTTTGAGTTTTCAAAATTTCAAAAGATTTAATTCTAGTTCAATATTTCTATTTTGTTTCTGTAATATTGTTAATATAACTACAGCTAACTTTTTTTAACCTAATGTAAAGTTTTTTTTTTTTTGTTTTTACTATCAATCAAACTTTACTTTTGTATGTTTCCTGTGTTTTTTTCTTTTTAGGGATTTAGCATGTCTTTATTTCAAATATAATTTTATTTAATTCATTTCATTTTAATATAAAATGCATTTTCAGTTTAGAAATTCTACTTTAATCGTTTCAATTGATGTAACTTTAACATCTGACTTGTGGGTTAAAGGTAAATAGCATTTTCTGATATACAGCAAGCTGATCAAAGGTTGTAAAGTTAAAACAAATTAAAACAGATAAAATTAAAATACTGACATAAAAACTGCTTTAACCTAATAAGTATGGATTACAAATCTTCTCACTATTTTATAACAAAATAATATGATTACTTTATAAACTCTTTTAGGTCTTGATTGGTTAAAACTGTAAAAGATTATTTTTCTCTAAGATGTAATCAGTTGATTTGATCCGATAATTAGCTCTACATAAGAACTGTAGACCTATATATATCATGAGAAAAGTGGTAAGAAAATCAATTCTTGCCACGTTTCTCATGACTACTCTTCAGATGCAGGGTTTTTAGAAGAAAAAAAAATGCTATGATGATCTGCAATAAGAATTTCTCCCTGTTTATTTTTTTTGCTGGATGCTGCAGGTTCCAGGTTTATAAGTTTACCCTGCTGGCAGACATGCACAAGGATTTCAATAAAAAAGCCAATCCAGGAATGCTTTAAACAGGTCCCACGACATGGCTGCCAGGGTGGTTATGTGTAAGCATGATAAGACCCATTTCGGTCCTCTTTCACCAGCATTTTGTCAAACTTATTAAATTTTAGTCAGCATATTGATTTCACCGGGTTTTAAAATTGTTATCTGTGTCGTTTTTTACTTTCAGGGTGAAAGACAAGGTGGGCTACATGTATTGTATTAATGAAACTTCACCTTGGATCAACAAGATGATAAGAGAGGTAAGCTTAGTTGCTTAGGAGACATTCATGTTTATAACTTTAGTCAAAATAAAACAAAAATTACGTTAGATAATGTACCAAAGAAAAAAAATATCTATCTCCTAATTATGAGATCTTTTCTCATAATTACGAGATCCTATCTATATATTTGGTTATCATTACTTAAGCTAATAATGTAGCATCTCTCAGAAAATTGGTCTTCATCATTACTTCTTAAGAATATCTGCATCTGTTCCACTGAACAGTTCTCTGTACTGAGGTCTGTCGTGATACACGTTGGAGCGCCACTCCTGATTACCACTTGATCAATAAAGTACGCAGCTATAACCCTGGGATTACTACTAGTAGAATAAGCATGCAGTGATATGACCATACGTGAAAATCCATCAACAGTTCCATTAATACAGATTTCGTATGGTTTTAGTTTTTCACATGAATCGACGTGCCACCTAAAGTTAAGACCTGGTCGATTTAAACGATTCTGAAGCCTCAGCTGCACTCCTTGATGATCTAGGATTTTGAGAAGGTTGTTATTCGGGACACCAACTGACCAGCTGGAATGCATTTCAGATGCATTCATTTATAGCCATAAAGCATCCTGTGGTGGTTTAATTGCTTCTGCAAGAACATCGGACAGTTTAACTCATAATTATGAGATCAGGATCTCGTAAAGATGAGATCTTATCTCGTAATTATGAGATCTTTTTCCATAATTACAAGATAACATCTCATAATTACAAGATACAGATCTCGTAATTATGAGTTAAACTGTCTGATTTTTTCTTCTTTGGTGGATGCAATACGCTTTCGTAATAATGTTATCTATTAAGAAGTGAAAACCCGATGAATCATCCCCCCAACTCCTCCTAAAGTCCTCGCCACATAATTGTTCTGTTAATCTTTGTGTGCACTGCTGTCCCTCCTGAGAAGTACTCAGAAATGTTATTTGTTTAACTCTCATAGTTCCGTCACCACATTTACAACGTATGCAACAACAAGTAGATAATTGTGTCTGATTTAAGTCAGTATTTCTCTCACTGTTGGCCCCCTCGATGTTTTATGTCAAATCATCCCAGGCTACAGAGAGCACAGAGTCAGTTTCTGCTTTTTAAATTGGCAAACGAAGTCTGTTCTCGACTGGTCGTATCTCCCATTTTAAAGATTATTCTGACAAAACAATTACACACCAGAACAACAGAAGCCTCTTCCTCTCAAGGTTCTTTCTGCACATAACCTGTTTGATTGAGGCTGGAATTCCTGTGTGCTTGTGTGATACAAACCATGCTGCACCTCCTTTCCTCACCGTAAAAAGGGAGGAATCACTACAGCATCCATTGACTTAGCATTTTCAGAGTTGTTTTTGTATCTCCTAGCACGCTCTGCCTTCCTAAACTGACCACCAGTTGCGTAACATTTACCTTGTTAAATAAATCAATTGAACTTTATTGATATCACAATGGAGAAATTAACTCTCTGCATTTAACCCATCCCATTTTACACATTTTTACATGCTGGTAAAATATAAATGTAATCTAAATCATAGATTAGTTTTTATTTTAATTATTTCTTATCTAAATGACTTCTTTTTTTCTTTGAAGGGAGGTTTACAGTGTCCTCCTGACATCAGGCCTGCAAAATAAACAAGTGTGGATGACACCAGCGAAGCAGCTATACTCCATTTTCACTCACCTTTTTTGTTTTAATAATTACGTTAATATATTTAAAAGTTGTTTATTCTTTAGTTATTTAAACAATAAAAATTACATGTACATTTGTTGCATTTGATTCTAAATCTGTAAAATACATTAAAATATGTCGGAAATGTTATGTTTTTAATATTAAAGCAGAAAATAAGGCCTGTGGTAATAAGCCTGTGATGTATTTCTTTTTTTAATACAGTGAACTAATGACAGAAAAGCTTGGATATGAAATATACACTTTTTAGCAGGTTTAACAATAATAAAATGTTTTTTAAAACTGTACTTGAAAGACAAGCTGCTGATTGGTTTTCTGTGTGTTCAGGCCGACATAGCATGCTTACATGAATGTAAGTAAGTAATTAGACACTTGTCAATGATCTAACTAATAACTCACATAACTCTTTCATCAGTGTGAAATAAAATCCACCAGGGAAAGTTATTTACTGATATTTTCATGGAAACAAAAATATTTTTCAAATAAACTGCTGCTTTCATGATGATTAAAACAAGTTTATAGTGATCAAAGAGCATCACCAATGCTTTGTTCTGTACAAATATAATGTGCTGACAACAAAATCATACAAAAATCATCAATGGAAGTTAATTTATTAACCAATGGAGGCCTGGATCTAGAATCACACACAAAGTTAAAGTGGAAAAAAACACTACAGGCTGATCCAACTTAGATGTAATGTCTTCAAACCAGGTCACAATGTGGCTCAGTATTGTGTGCGGCCTCCACTTGCCTGTATGACCTCCCTACAATGCCTGGGCATGCTCCTGATGAGGTGGAGGGTTGTCTTCTGTGGGAACTCCTCCCAGACCTGGACTAAAGCGTCCTCCAACTCCTGGACACTCCGTGGTGCAACATGACACATGTGGATGGATCTAGACATTGTTTCCCAGATGTGCTCAATCGGATTCTGGCCTGGGGAATGGGTGGGCCAGTCCATAGCTTCATCGCCTTCATCTCGCAGAAACTGCTGACACACTCCAGCCACATCACGTCTAGGATTGTCCTGCATTGGGAGGGACCCAAGGCCAACTACACCAGCTTACAGTGTCACCAGTCTCACAAGGGGTCTGAGGATCTCATCTTGGTACCTAATGGCAGTCATACTACCTCTGGCAAACACATGAAGGGCTGTGCGGCCCTCCAAAGAAATCCCCCCCCCCCCACCCCCACCCCCCCCCCCCCACACACACACACACCATTACAGACCCCAAAAATTGGTCATGCTAAAGCATGCTGCATGCATCAGATCACTCTCCACGGTCTCTTCAGACTCAGTCCCGTCTGCCACATGTGCCAGTCCTGGTTTGCTCCAACAAATGCCAAGCATCTTGCATGGTGTTGGGCAGTGAGCACAACCCCTATCTATGGACATTGGGCCCTCAAACCATCCTCATGCAGTCAGTTTCTGACCGTTTGTGCATACATGCATATATGTGATTTGCAGGGCTCTGGCAGTGCTTAAAAAAGGCAGAGGTAGCAGTCCTGCTACTTGGTTGTTGCCGTCCCAGAGCCTCTTCCACGCCCCCTTGTTGTACTGGCCGGTCACCTGGTAGCATCTCCCGAATCTGAACACTACACAGACAGACATAGCAACTCTTCTTGCCACAGCTCTTATTATAATAACTGAACTTTATTGATATTGCACTTGAGAAAGTTACCTCTGCATTTAACCCATCCCCTTGTGGACCAGCTGAGCAGCTCATATAGACTCTGTATTTACCAACCCTAAATCGTAGGCCCTTTCATCATCTTCAATATCTTAAGTTTCATTGGCAGAACTTGTGATGGTGAAAACATTTTGTTTTTCATCTGATAACCTACTTTCAGTGCAGCGTTTTTACATTGCATAAAGAATATAAACCAATAGAAATAACTGGTACAGCCTACAAAAGGCTGTAGAATGAGAGCATGCGTTTTTTTATGTATCTGAGGTTGGGGCATTTTTGCTTTAACCGATGTTATCTTAGAACCATCACACCATTTCCTGTTTTGTTTGTACAGGCTGACTCATTTGGGCCCCCTTAAGATTTTATTGGATCTCTATTTAGTGACAGGTAACAATCTATACGACAGCAGAGATCCTGTAGACTGCACTGCAGAGCACATCTAAAACATGAGGACCACTTTCACCATAAGGGGCAAATTGTTGCTGCCCATCTATGTCGTTTGGATCCTCTTCACTGCAGCTGATGGTTAGTTTAACCTTTTGGATTCATTTTATCTAGATGTTTTGTCTTGAGTGCTCACTAGGAGTAAGCTAAATGTTGATGTATTGAAATTGTCTCTAAAAACTTTTATTCGAAGAAATATTTTTTGTATTTTGAAATAATGTTTTTGATTTAAAAAGGACTCCTGCACTCGGTCCAACTTGCATAAGAAGACATTTATTTGTAAAGTTTCTGTGCCAGACCTTCTTTAAGCCTGATCAAGGTCTAGCACCGAAACGTTGCAAATAAATGTCTTCTAATGAAAGTTGGACAGTGTTCTTTTTAAATTTTGGTCCTTTTTCTCTTATGCACCTGTCATGTTATATAGTGTAAGGTACTCTGCAGAAAAATGCTCTTGGAAACACTGACTGACTGTTAAATGCTGACTGACTGTTAGATACTCCAGAGATCTGAAGAAAAAAATCTAATTATATACAATAAAATAACAAATAACAATAAATGGACCAAGCCATTGATTTAACAAGCATTTTCTGTACTACAAATTAGCTTGTCCTCTAGACATGGACGGACTGGGTCCAAAAAATGCCAGGGCCATTTTTTGGTCATGGTGGCCTTCCATGATTAATTATATTTTATAGGGACAAACACAGCATACCAGATGTGCAAGTTCAAAGGTTTCAAACTAAAAAATATAGCCAAAGAATAAACGTGAAAACGTGAAAAAACTAAACTATTCGTTAAGATATCAAACAACTGATCATGTCCTCTTAATTGTTGTTTAAAACAAAAAAAATTTTTTTTCAAACAAACCTAAAATCTGTTAGCCAATTCTGGTATTGTGCGACCAAAAATAGAAGATATACAAAATTATTCAAACAGAAGAAACACTTTTCTAAATACTTTGATTGGATTATCCTTTGACAAATAGATCAACTATTTAATAAGGAGTAATATATTAAATAAACAGCCTTGGGCTGTCACATTGGCATCAACAATATTTTTGAAATTTTTATTTGTTTATGCTTATGCATTCCCACTTATTGTTTTAATTTTTTAATTTTTTAGACTTTAACTTTAAGTCCCGCAGTTTTAAACCGATTTTCAGCAATTTTGGAATCAAAATGTTCAGCTGCAACACAGCATTTTTCACATCCTTTACATTTTGCAAATTTTGCTCTTTTCTTTCACAAAGGACTTTGTCTTTTTAATAATATTTTCAATTCAACTTCTGTCAACTTCCAGCTAAACAAATGCTTTTGGAATTTTTCTTCTGGTAATTTCAGTTTTTTTTTTCCTTTATTCAGTTTCTTTGGCTAATTTTTCTTTTTTCATTCAGCAGAAAAAAAGCATTCCCACTTTGCTGTTTCTCTGAAACAGCTTTTTCTAGTTTTTATTTAGTTTTGAGTTCTGATTTTTTATTCAATTTTTGTTTCAATCATTTAATATTTTTAAGCTAGTTATGTTTTATTTATTTTTTGGAAAATGCTGAGTTTCAGTTTAGTTTTATATCAGTTTTAGTTAAAGTTTGAGTTTTTAATGTAATACGGCTTACATAAAAGGCAGAATAATAAAAATAAAAACAATATATAAGAATAATAAAAATAAAACACATATAAGGTCAGACAGCTGCAGCAAGTTGCTGCCAGCAACACAAAATTACCTGACTGCCGAACTTGCTATCTGCTGGTGTAATGCAGTACGACAAAAGAAAATGAAAACAGCAAAATGGATCTCATATCATTTCATTATAATAGAGCCAAACAAAAACTAAGGACATTTTCTGTTAAAATTCAATGCATTACCTTTTGAAAAACAATTTCCTCCTTGTTTTGTTGTCTTGCAGGCTCATGTCGTGTATGCCCACCCTGCTGTTTTCAGGGGTCAGACCGGATCAAAGGGGAAATCATAAAGTGTTTTGAACAAACAGCAGGAGGACCCTGTTCAAAACATTTCTTTCTGTGAGTACAGCAGACATGAAACATCCCTCCACCTCTCTCAGCTGGAAGCAAGCAGATCAAACTTGAACTCCATCTAGTGGCACATTTTAATACTAGCTGTGTGGTGGCACCACTGATCTCTATCTATTCACTGGATTGCTGATTGCTCGTTGGTAGTATGAGGTTGAAAGGAAGCCACCGGCTTAGACCGGTCGCAAGTAAACAATATGTGCGCTACAGCATCGCACAAAGATGATGTTCTAATTTTCAGGGGGCCTTAAAATGTTAAAATAAAGACAAATTCATCACTTTGAAACACGCTGGCTGTTTCATAGCATCAGTAGATTACTTTAACTTCACAAGGCACATCTCATTGTATAGTCAGTATGAAGCCAATGAAGTCTCTAAATCATGTAATATGATATATTATACAGATCAATGATAATAAAATAAATTGTGTAAATGGAGCACAATAATACAGATGTGCCAAAACTGCTCAACTGATGATGTAGATGTAATATACATGGATTTATTACATGGTTATGGTAATTATAACTTACATGTCTGGTAATGCATGCAATAGATAGATAGATAGATAGATAGATAGATAGATAGATAGATAGATAGATAGATAGATAGATAGATAGATAGATAGATAGATAGATAGATAGATAGATAGATAGATAGATAGATAGATAGATAGATAGATAGATAGATAGATAGATAGATAGATAGATAGATAGATAGATAGATAGATAGATAGATAGATAGATAGATAGATAACATGCAATATGTTTCAGAACATCACTTTTTCAAATGAGAAATGCAACAAACACTTCAGGAACGGCAGTGTCATCCACTTAAAGACTTACCACATTTCAAAGTGAATTGATTTCTATTTACTCCACTTTCTATCTTCTTATGTTAGACACAATGTCTATGGCTAATAAAAGTTACGCTACTTACTATACTACAGGATACATTGAGGTATATATGGATTTTATTGGTTAGTTCATCCACTGACTGTGAAATTACCAGTGGAACGTCTTCCCAAAGCCGGAAACCTGCTTGTTTTTGCAGCCAAATGCTACATGTGTAGGCATTTCTACTGCATGTCTCTGTGGGAGTGGGGAGTACCAATATGGCGGACTGTGGCTTCCCTTTTTTCAGCCAATCAGCAATCCAGTGAATAGATAGAGATCAGTGGGTGGCACCCATAGTAGAAGACATATTTCTCTAAACATTTTTATTAGGGATGCAAGATATAATCGGCCCCCTATCGGTATCGGCCTTAAAACTGAATATCAGACATCGGCCACCCCACCAACATTTAACCTGATATTTGATCAGCTTCTGAGTTTCTAAAAGTCTAATATATATATATATATATATATACATATATATATATATATATACATATACATATATATATATATATATATATATATATATATATATATATATATATATATATATATATATATATATATATATATATATATATATATATATATATATATATATATATATATATACATATATTACTTCTTCTTCTTCCTCAAAAACTTCTTTTTTACAGACTTAAAAACTTCTAAAGACGAGGGAAAAAATATTGATACATTAAAATATCACAATATCTTCATATGCTGATATATTGCCATTTAAAAACACCATATCAATCTATTTTTCTAATGAAATATTGCTATATGTCATCGTTATGCTACGAAATCCCCCGAAAATTCATGAAATTTTGCCATATTTTTATATGTTGATATATTGACGCGGTATCGATCTATTTTTCTAACAAAATCTCACAAGAATTTGCAAAATATCACGAGAGTTTGTAACAGAACGATGAAATTTCACGAGATTTTGAAAGTAAAATAGATCGATACAGCGTTTTTAAAGATCAATTTGATATCAGCATATGAAAATATATTTGAGTTTATTATTTTTCAAAGTGTCAGAAATGGATAACAAAACTGCTTTTTTCAATGACTACTTATTTTTGTCCAGCTTTAACATCGATATCGGTCATCGGCTACATGAGTTTTAAAATATCGGCATATCGGATATCGGCCAAAATCCCAATATCGTGCATCCCTAATTTTTATTGTAGAACATTAAAGTATTTCATGTATTTCTCTCATTTAGTTTTGCACTAACTAGGGAGTATGCTAAGTGAGATAAATGTTTAGGATATTGATAGGAAAGTAGAGCTTGACTAAATGGTCACTGGATCTATGTTTCTAGATGTTGTCTAGATAAAATGTTAATAATTTAAAATGTTTTGTTTGTTTCAGCAGCAATAATCAAACTGTCCAACTGCCATGTTTTTACATTTGTAGAGTTACACTTAAAGGAGGGGGAGAATATTGCATCAACCCAGATTCACACTGGTTTAAAGAGAAGAAAAAGGAGGTGAGTTTGGCTCAAACAAAGCAGCACTAACTTAATCACACAGATCTGTTCAAATCTAAATCTTTATTTGTAGTTTAATAAATAAGTATTGGCTCTCCTGCTAATTTATTCGGCTAATATATATATAAATACCAAAGGTAGCATGAGTAAATAAAACATTTCCAGAAAAAAATACAACAATTAAACATTTAATCTTGTTTAATCCTTTTTGCTGAATCATAGAAATTGAGCTTTAAATAAAGAGTTTTTAGCGTTTAAGATGTTTTTCTAGGTATTTTGGATGAGTTGTTGGCAAGCCCTTTGAGTAATTTTGGTGGTCTGACTTCCGACAAAGACTGTGAACTTCATAATTTTTTTTTGTTTGTTTGTGGGTTTCAGGATCCTTGGGTTTTCCAAAGACTTAGCGATGTCACTTTGTAACCCCATCCAGAATGATCAGTGTGTCACTTTGTTTCTCCCCTGTTCTCGAATTGGTCAGATAAAGAATTAATTTGCTGCTCTTTAGATCCTTTAGCCTACTTCATGTAGTCAAATAGGTCCTATTACAGTTATTTCTTCAGGTCATAGAAGAGATCAGGTTTTGAGACGTCCTCTGCAAAACAACTAATCTCCTGTTTTCTCTTGTTTTATGCTTTTAGTTTCTAAAATTCATTGCTTGTGTTTTTACCTGCTGTGGCAACCTTGATTATATTTGCTCCATATTAACATTTTCTTTACTTACTTTTAGATTGAACTGTTTATTAAATCTAAATTTGTTTGTTCTAATTAGTTTTTTTTTTAGACATAATGAGTCCTGAAAAAAGTAAATGATAAAGTGAAAGATGCACCCCATTGTAGAATTATTAAATACAGCTTTTATAGGCCACACAAATACTCTTATTGGAATTATAAGTAAATGCTGAAAAAGTTTAAAAACAATCTGTCCAACAGTTTTTGGAAAAAAAAAGGCAAATGCAATAACTAAGGAGATTAAGGCCAATAGAAAAATAGTTAATTCATTAAGAAAAAATTTGAATAAATATTTATTTATCTTTCTCTTTTTTTCCCATCACAGGAAAAGCTTTTCTGCTCTGTATACAATGAGAAACCATTCATCAAATCACCAGCTTCTTCAAGCAAAACCAAAGGAGGGACTGCCGTCTAGACGCCTACCTGTGAGGAAGGTGAAATGTCTGAATGTCTGGAAAGAAATTACTTGGTTTAAAAACTAACTTAGTGAAACAGCTTTTGGAGATAGGACTAATTAGAACGGAATAGAATAGAATAAAATCATCCTTTTCTTCCAACAGTGGCAGATTTAAAAAACAGCAAGTGAAAGACAAATGGAAATAAGCAGATACATATTAAGCTAAAAAGAAAAGTGAAATGTATAAGAAACTTTAAAGACGGGGAAAATTTACAGAATAAGAAAATTAACAACAGCTAATTTAAATAACAAACTCAGATAAGATGTTATTTTGGAAAATGTACAAAATAAAGATATATTTATTTAATAATAACTAACTGCTATTTATAGGAATTGCAATAACTATGCGAAAATACACCAACAGCATTGGTGAAAGGGGCATTAGAAGATACAGCCAGCCTTCTTGGTCAAATAATATAATTAGCTTAAATACTGAACTTTCTCAAGGAACCTGAGAAAACAACAAAAAAAACAACAAAATCTTCGATATGTTCGATATCTCTCTGTCTGTTTATCTGTCTTTCTGTGGATAAATATATTTTTTATATAAACATAATTTTGATGTATTAATCTAAGCACAAATACTGTACGCATTGGTCTTTGTTGTACACTTTAACTTGTTAAATAAATATTTTTCCTAATGTTTTAATTTCATGTTTCATTTCAGCACATGAACTGGCAACGATAAAGGCAAGTTAAGGCAAGTTTATTTATTATTTATAACACAAAGAAAAAGAAGCGGAAAGTTATAGCTCCCTATTTGTCTTACTCATTCTCAGTCTTACATTCTTTTCAACAGATTTGTTTTATTGAGTCTTGACTGTGTCTAACCACTGCAAAATCCTTGTTTTGTGACATACAGAAGTTAACCTGCTGGTGATCATTCTTCTCTAGCATCACCCAATTCTAGACCCTCAGTATTGTGTTTTTTTTTGTTTTGTTTTTTATTTTATTTTTTATTGATGCATTTTTGGCCCAGTCCCTGTCTAATTGTTCTTGACCATAAATTTGATAAATTCTCGAACGAATAATTTTAGAACATTTAATACTCCTGGGAATGTCTTCACTGTTATTTTCATTAGTTGATACCAATTCTAAATGTTATTCTTAGGAGTCCCAAAGCTTTAGAAATTAAACAAATCATTTCAGACAAAGAGATGTCAGTAAATTTGTCATTGTATCTTCAATTGTTTTAGTGTGGGACATGATTTGCTGCTTTTTGAATTTTTTTTCTTACTTCACATTGGACTGTTTAACGGCGTTGGGTTCGACACTGCCACCTAGCTGAGAGCTCACCAAGGGCTGGTTGGTCTAGGGGTATGATTCTTGCTTCGGGTGCAAGAGGTCTGGGGTTCAAGTCCCGGACAAGCCCTTCTGTTCTGTTTGGCAATGCATGCAAGTGCACCAGGACAGAAGAACTATAGCTGATTTTTAAAATTCAGCAACTTAAGAAAGTCCCAGTCAAATGTCCACTAAATGGCAGCCCATTTGCCCCAAACCTCCAGCCACTCTTGCATATTGTGTTTACTCTGAATCCACCCTTTCACTGAATTACAGCGTATGACCGGGTGATAACTCTTCTCTTTAGGTGTTAATCTCGCCAAATCATGGACAGAAAGAATATTTTGATACAAATATTGATGTTTATAAATGAATTGTAGGGGACCAGAGAAGGACCAACCAAGGATCCATTAAGGAAAGTGGGGAAATTTTGAATGGCTGCAATTCAACAAATATCAAGGCTAAGACAAAAAGACAGCCCACTTTTTGAAAGAAGTCCACAAACTTGCTTGAAATTATGATCAAGGATTTCTCCTGGATTTCTATCCATGTCCACTCCCTACAAGGCCCTGAAACATAATTCTAGTATAACGAGCCCCTGAAGCAACAAAAGTTTGAATTGTCTAAAAGTAGCAGCCATTGTTCGAAGGCTGTAGGAAAGAGCAATTTCTGTTAAGTAATTTCCTGATTTTACAGTGTTGAGAGTATTCATGCCTGATTGTGATTCTGGTTAAGATTTTATTCCATTCATTTCATAATGTGACAGGGGTGGACAGAGCAGCATATCTTCAGAGATGTTCCGGTTTCTTTGCTTTTAAATTTTAAAGATATTGATCTTTGTATTTTTTGGTGTCTTCAGTACATCTTAAAATTACTTTTATCGACTGATGGTGGTCGGAGGGACTGGTGGCGCCAGTGTACAGCAGCCTCGCTTCTGCCAGTGAGCCCCAGGGCAGCTGTGGCTACCATGTAGTTTGCCACCATTAGTGTGTGAAATATTAGAATGTAGCATTGACCGCTTTGATCAAGTCCACTGATTTGAAAAGCGCCAAATAAGTACAGGCCATTTACCATCAAAATTATTTTAGTATGTTAAATGAAAGCAGAAAAAGCAGAAAGCTTTCTGGAGATAAATACGCTTTCACTTCACTATACATGTATTCCCGTTAAAATTCAGTTTAATACTGTGCAATTAGATTTAATTTAAATATATCAGTTGCTAAAAGCTATGTAATATCCATCTAAGGAATTCTGCCGTTGTTAACTTTGCAGCCTTTCAATCAGTTTTTAGTAAACTGTCTTTGATGACCTGAATCCAATTCACTTCAGTTTCAATTCAGTTTATTTATATAGCGCCAGTTCACAACACACGTGATCTTAATGTACTTTACAATTCAAGTCAAACTTATTCAAAAATTTCTATCTAAGGAAAAACAGTTGATTGCATCGACTCATTGACTCAAATACAATCCCTCACACTAACCATGTTTGTAGCGACAGTGGAGAGGAAAAACTCCCTTTTAACAGGAAGAAAAATTAGACTTTGGTATTTTATATACATTTGGCTTCTCTAACACCAGTTTATTTATTTTTTTTACCAGAAGGACTGCATTTTTGTTGATTAAGATCTTTTTTTTTTTTTTTTTTTATCCCAGTTGGATTACATGGATGAAGAGAACCTGGAGTTGCAGCAATCCTGCGGTGGAGAAAAAAAAAAATCAATGGCTAAGGATGAATTCTGCTTCTTTTACATTTACTGCTTAAAGATAAACAGCTCATATCCGTTTTGGGTTCATTCTAATCCATTTCTTGATGAATAATTTCGAAGCCTTTCTAATTAACACATGTCCTTGTTTTGCTTTGAATTTGATGCTTCAAATAAATCACATAAACTATATCTTTTCTTTCTGGGCTCTTTATTTTCTCTCCTCCAACTAAATATGGTGTTTAGAACATGAACTATAGTTTTTTCTTTTGCTAATGGAAAAATAAAATATTGTACCTGAGTGAATCCAGATAATAAAGTAGGGAGGTGAAGATAATCAAAGTGGCGACATTGTAGTGTGTCTGCTCTGATGCTGCTCTGATGCTGTGTACAACATTTTTTTTTACCAGTTTCAGGTATCAGTCCCTAGGAGTATATTCCTAAACGAAGCCAACTTTTTGCTGGAAATGAGAAAAGGGAAAAAAAAATCTTAAGGAAATGCACATGCATAGGGGCAGGGGCGGAAGCAGACCTAGACCTAAGGCTAATGTCTAGACAACCTGAAGCTGAATCGGTGTTTCCCAACTTGGGGTACGTGTACCCCTATTGGTCCATGAGAGACATGAAATACATGAAAATATTCTTAGGTAGTCAAATAAAATAGGCTGGGATTTGTTCTGCTTTGTTAGGACCCAGTTGAATTAAACAAGCTTTTATCAACCAAAAAGTTTTTCTTTTGGTTCACCTTCAGCTTTGACACACATCAAAACCAAGCAGCGTAACAGACTGGACTGTTTTTCACACTGAGCTATCAGAGCTCATCAAAGCAGCTCAGGGGTTTTGATGAATGTCTATAATCTTTGTCCAGAATTTTGTTCTCAATTTATCAGGTTTAAATGTGATTATAAGGGAGTTACTCAGTTTTATAATTGCAGGTTTATATTGTGATTTTAATTTGTATTTATTTTGATTCCTTAGTAACTTCCAGGCAACATATTTATTTTTTGTTTGAGATCGAAATGATTCAATGTTAAGAATTAAATGCTGAAATTAAAATATTTAGCAAAGTTATTGTACATTCCACTTTTTGACAATTATCAATACTTTAAACTGAGAGGGGTACTCATGGTAAGACAAACAGCCCAAAGTCAAAAAAGGTTGGGAAACACTGAGCTAAATTAAAAAAAAAATGCCTTCTTTTCTCTTTCACAAAACCCCAACTATTCATCTAAAGGTTTTTTGTATTGTTCATTTTATTGGATGAACATAAATGGAATTAGCATAATTACATGATTTATAACTGAAAAAGCATTTTGAACTCAAATCTCTCCGTTTCAACAGCATACAAAGCGTTAGGCTTTATTACCTTTTGCAAATTGAAGATCAAATTTCCCACTGGGCCTGAACTAACCATAGGAATTTCCCCCCAATTTCGCCAGTGTTTAGAGCAGCACTGGACCCATCTCTACCAGGTCTCAATAAACCTGTTAAACCTTCCCCTGGTCTCTCTGTTTGGTTTTCTGCATGTGGGTCAGATCTTTAAATAAAATCATGACAGTTAGTGTTTAGTGTTTTAATTATTCTAAGGAAAAATCATGTTTGTCTAATTTATAGAAGCATTTACTCAATGGGTTTCTTATTATAATCCCTTCTTTTAGATTTTATTACATGTCCTAATTACAATACAAGCCACCAGTTGTCATCTCCATGATACGAGACTAGACTGTTGATGAGTGTTTTGAAAGAGGGTAGCGGCATCAGAGCAAATGACTAAAAGAAACTAGACTAGCTGATAAAGAAGGTCAGCTCTGTTCTCGGAACTTCTCTGGAGATTATTTCAAAAGAGGGATTCTTCATAAAGTGAAGAAGATCATAATGACCATCCTCTTCATCATACTGTTAAATACCAGCAGCGTGTCTTCGGTCAGAGGCTTCTACTGTATGATCCGGTACAAGAGAGATCACTACAGTAGATCCTTCCTGCCAACAGCTGTCAACCCCTGGATAAAAAAAACCCCAAAAAAAACATGAGTCACTGAAACATTTAATTTCCCTTAATAAAGTTTTTATGAATTGAATTACCGGTAAACTCTTGCCGATAATGGATCTTATCCCTCTCAGTCAGTGCTGCATTGATTCTATTGCATTTTCTAAAAAGTTCTCTTCTTTTCATTCCGAATTTAAACCAAAACCGTTAGCATAAACTGAGCTCACTGTAAAAAAAGAGAAACACAGTAGTCATCAAACCTTCTCCCCATGTTGCTATATTTGGGCTTCCGGATGACTACAAACAGTTCACTTCTAACCAGTTGGATATTCTAGCATTTACTTCCTTACTGGCAAGACGGCGTCTCCTTTTTCATTGGAAGTTAACAGTTCCACCTTCTAGTGGCCAGTGGCTTAAAGACACCATGTCTTTTCTAAAATTGGAAAAGATAAGATACTCATTGAAAGGCAACCCTGCTAAATTCTATATCTTATGGGGCCCTATCATGAGATTCTTTCATTCTCTCCAGTCCCCTTTCCTAGATTAGATTAGGTGATGCACCCTACCCCACACCCACCCTCCATTTTTATTTTGTTTCTTTACTTATTTTTATTTTATTTATTTTTATTTTTTATTTTTTATACATTGTATTCTGTTCAGTTTTGTAAGGGAAAAAAACCCCCACAGGAGCTAAATTGTATGCCTTTTATTACGTTACTATCCATAT